CCTCCTGCCTCTGCCTTCCAAGGGCTGAGTTATAAGTACACAGCCCCATGCCAGATGGGTTATGTGGATCTTAAAGTAAGAAAATACTCCTGAGTTCCCCGCAAAGGGCTGGAACTAATTCACTCTGTCCCCAGAGTTCCTCACCAGCAGGCTTTATGTGCATGCTGCTGGTGCTGGGACGCAGGGCTGAGTGCATGCTCAACACCTACTCTGCACTAAACTGCAGCACTCAGCGCTGGCCTCCTCTTACTCCGTGGAGTCTTATGTGCGCTGTGTCTCATTCCCTGTCGGTGCAGCACCCGTCTGCGGCTGGTTTGGATCTGGTTGACTGTGAGTCTCATAGAACTTCACTTAGAGCAATATGTTTTCCAATCTTTCCCATATTTGACATTCTTTTCTACCCACAAGCAATAAAAGCAATCTCTGTGTTTTCTACTAAAAGTTTGAAAGTTTGGGGCTGTTAGAGGTTGATCTGCAGTTCAGAGCGCTTGCCAGAGGACTAGGCTTTGGTTCCCAGCAACCATGTCAGGCAGCTCACAACCAACTGTAACTCCAGCTCCAGAGAATCTGATGTTTCTCTGGCCTTCGTGGACACACACACACACACAGTAAAATCAGTCTTTAGCCTTGGTGCCCAATGCCTCTAACCCCAGCACTCGGGAGGCAGAGGCAGGCAGATTTAAGTAAGTTTGAAGGCAGCCTCGTCTCTATAGTGAGTTCCAGTCCCGCCAGAGCTACATAGTGAGACCTTGTCTCCAAAAAAAATGTTTTGAACTTTTCTTTTTCATCTCCTAGATTCTAATCCATGTGGAATTACACATAATTATGCTTTTTCTTTGAGATAGGATTTTGCTATTGGCCTTGAACTCCTGGGTCCAAGTGACCCTCCCACCTCAGCCTCCCAAGTCACTAGGACTATAGGGTGAACACCACAGGGCTTGGATCCAGCACACTTGTTCTTTAGAGGTATGTGGGCAGCAAAGTAAATTCCATGGGACTCTGGGGAGTATGCTAACCCTGGGCTCTTGGTTTGGGCCTTGGTATTCTTTGCCATTCTCTCAGATCCCAAACACATTTCTATGAACTCAGGCTTTTCCAAAACCTAAACACTATGGTAGTAAGAATTCATCTTGAACCTGAACTTGGATCCCCAGAACCCACACAGAAAGCCAGCATGCCTGTAGCCCTGGTACTAGGGCTGGGTACACAACACACAGACAGATCCTAGAGGCTTGCTAGCCAGGCAGTCCAGCCAATCAGTGAGCTCCAGGTTCAGTGAGAGATCCTGTCAGATAAGGTGGAGATCAACAGGAAGACATCTAAGATTGACCTCCAACCTCCTCAAACACACAGTCATAGGAGTGTGCACACATAAACCTGTACACATGTCCACACACACCTGACTTCCACTGGCATTCTAAAACAAGGGTAATAAGATTACTGTGCTGCCCCACAATTGAGTAACTTAGGAAGTTTAGGCTCTGGGGGCTAGGGAGATGGCCCAGAGGACAAAAGCACTTGCCCTCAAGCATGAAGGACCTGAGTTGAAATAGCCAAAGCATACATAAAGCTGGGCATGGTAGTGCAGATCTCTAATCCTAGCACTCCTAAGGCAAGAGAGGAGGTCCAGAAAGGATAATCCCAGGAAGTTCACAGGCAGTTAGCCTGGCACCAGGTACACAAAGCAGCGGCAAAAAAATCAGAGACCCTGCTTCCAAACAAGGTGGAAGGTGAAAGCCAACACTCAAGGTTATCCTCTGACCTCCACATGGCATACATGTGAGAGGCCAGCTCCTACCTTCTGAAAGGGCTCCTATGAGGAGGAGAGAGGGATAAGAAACTTTTAGATAGAAAGATAGCGAAGAGGAGAAAGACAGAAACACAGGACAGCTTCGGGAGGACCTGGGTCAAAACCCACCAGCCCCTTCTGCCTCTTCAAAAGGGCTTTTTATAACAATGCCAAGGGGCGGGGCAAAAGACCTCCCCCTTGCTAGATCAAAGCACACCATCCAGCCAAGTGTAGACCTTTCCAAACACCTGGTAACCACGCCTGTGGTCAAATTATCCCCTTATACAGCCCTGCTCGGTAAAGCAAGTTCAGATTCTCGGACCCTGAGTAAGTTCTCACTAGGAAACCTCTGTGGGTCTCTACACATACACATGCCCATGCACACACATATATGTTATACACAAACAAAAAGTGTAGGCTTTGACTAGCCACATTCCTTCATGACATTCTGTCATTAGGGTAGCTTTCTTTGCCATTCATGGAGAGTAATATGTCTTAGTTACCAGAACTAAGTATTAACATTCCCCAGGTCCTTGTAACCTTGTCAAAATTATAATCACCATAACCAGTAAGCTGATTATACGTCTTATTAGCTAGTTTGTCTTTAGTTGTTAACTCTCCTGTCCAAAGTCCAGGGAAAGTAGAGGACGCAGAGTGTCAGAGCCCTGAGGAATCCCACTCCTTGACAACCAGCTCTGATTGTGAAAGGCTGTCCAACAGATCATGGAACCGTGTCCTGAATGTCTTGATCACTACCATCTGATTAGTGATAAGCTCCGTCTGTTTGGGGCCATATGTGAGTCTGTTCTCTTAAACCATTGGAACAAACCAAGACATACCCTCTGACTTCAGCCATTTCTTTCTTTCTTTTGTTTTTAATTTCTTTTTTTTTTTTTGTTTTTTGGGGTTTTTTTTTTGTTTTTTTGTTTTTTGTTTTTCGAGACAGGGTTTCTTTGTGTAGTTTTGGTGCCTGTCCTGTCTTGGATCTTGCTCTGTAGACCAGGCTGGCCTCGAACTCACAGAGATCCGCCTGGCTCTGCCTCCCAAGTGTTAGGATTAAAGGTGTGTGCCACCACCACCCAGCCAAGTCATTTCGTTCTTAGTTTATTCGTTCATTCACTTTTTGCAGTGTTTGGGATCAAACTCAGTCTCATGCAGTGCAGAGTTAGTGCCCTTGCGCTGAGCTGTTTCCCCAGCCCCTGGCCTCAGGCATTTCTGTGCCCCGGTCATCAGTGCCTAGAGACATCTAATCAAGCCATCCGGAACTGTGTGTGGCTGGTTATTAAACCTCTGGAACACTGATGTTCTCTCCTATAAAACTGGCAACAATGAGGGTGGACCCTCAGAGGGACAATGTGAAGAATCTTCTAGTATCATTTCTAGCCATTGGTGATCCATAAGGAAAGTTGATCTCTTCCCAGATAATTGGCATTCAAGAAGACCAAAACAAACAAAAAAAGAGGGTCATTGCTGTAGCAGAAATCTTAAAAAGTTCTTATTAATAAGATCAAACCTGAGCCCAGTTATTGGGGTGAATGCTGGAAGATCAGAGAAGCAGAACAAGCCACAGCTACCTCACCTTGCCAATTCCTCAGCTGATCCTGTTTCCTCAGACTGGAAACCTCTGAGTCCTCATCCAAATAGATCTCAGCTGAACTGCTTCTTGAAAGCCTGGAAGCTTAACCAGCCTAATTCCTGGTTTTCATGCCTTATATACCTTTCTGCTTTCTGCCATTACTTCCTAGGATTAAAGGCTCTTGTTACCACGCCTGGCTGTTTCCACTGTGGCCTTGAACTCACAGAGATCCAAATGGGTCTCTGCCTCCCAAGTGATAGGATTAAAGGCTTGTGTGCCACCATTTTCTGGCCTCTATATCTAGTGGCTGTTCTGTTCTCTGACCCCAGATAAGTTTATTAGGGTGCACAATATTTTGGGGAACACAATACCACCACATTTCCCCTTTTTTTGTCTAAAATTTTAAAAAGCTTATAACTAATACAAGAAAAACTATATCCAATAAGCATATACAATATATACAGTCGAATTACATTAATGATGTCTAGTCCATTGACATTTGACAGATTCAGATGAAAAACTCCATTAATATATATTAACAATGTCCAGTCCAGTAACATTTGATAAACTCAGACAAAAAAATCTCATTACTTATTCATCCTGTTTAAAACAAGTAGTTCCTTTTTAAAAGTGGATTTTTATCTTATCATATCCACATTGCCAAGATATGATTAAATATGGTTAAAATGTCATCAAACAGCATCTAGAGGAATCCTAAATACAGCAATAACAAGTTACCATTTTTTTCCTAATGAATAAGATTTTTGTGATAGTTTCAGTGCTGATGAGGGTGCAGTCTGTGATTTCTGTGATGCTGGTAGCTATGTAAACAGGTGCATTCTAGGTAGAAAGAGCTTCAGACATGTCCTAGGAACCTTCAAAATAACGGCATGCATTGGCCTGTTCCAGAGACAGCCCCTAAGGAGATGCCACTGATGAGGCTAGAATCCATGGTGAGGCTGTCTACCTCAGCATCGGACTTCTGGGTTTTGTTATTTTATTTTTTAGATTATTTTTCTTTTATGTGCATGAGTGTTTTGTCTGTATGTATGCCACACGCATGCCTAGTGCCTGTGGAGGTCAGAAGAGGGCACCTATCTCCTGGAACTGGAGTTACAGATTGCTGTGAGTCACCTTGTGGGTGCTGGGAACCAACCCAGTTAACCGCTGAGCTGTCTCTCCAGCCGTTCAGCATCTGCTCCTAATGACAGAAATCTAGGGAGTGAATTAAGTGGGAGAATGCTACCATGACTTAAACAATGTTGCCTGTATTGCAAAGCCATTAAAAATCATAACTTTTTAAAAAACTGCCATGATGGGAAATAAAATGCAAACCCTTCATGTGTCTACTAGAAAGGGCAGGGTGTGAAGCCATACATACACTCAGTATGGTTCCGGCTAGATTTTCATCCACACACACTGGCTAGCAGGAACTATGCCCACATTTCACTTTGGTTTCTTGAAGTAACTTTTCCTGGACAGTGAAAACTGTGTTTTTTCCTTGAAAGTTCTCTTTTCCAAGTTTTCTGTAATGGGAAAGGATCGTGTGTACAGTGGGTAGCACACACCTGCTCAGGGTGGACGCGCTAGGTGCTTGTTGAACACAGTGGCTATAATGCTCTGCTTGGTCTGCAGCTGCTGCTGGACACCCACTCCCTGAAGATGGTCCTGCTCGATCTCCCATCCATCGGCTCACAGGTGGTGAGGAAGGCACCTGCCAGTTACACTAAGATTGTCGTGAAAGGCATGACCCGGGCTGAAATGATCCTCAAGGTGTGTCTTCTCTGGGGACTCTGTTCAAAGGGACTGGCCCCATCTTTTTGCAAACACAGAGTCTGCCCTGTCCCCTCTGGCTCCCAAGGGTTGTCCACACTCTGTGATGTTGAAAATCGGTGCACAGTTACCTGGGGATCAGCAATCCTTTCTGACAGCTGAGTTCTGTTTAATAAGCTCTACCAGCTGAGAGTCAGGTGGCAAACCAGGAGAGAAGCCGGGGGACCCCTACCTCTCAGCAGGAATTTCAGGCCAGCTGTCACTCCCTTCCCCAGAAGCCTTTTGGCTTCCATGTTTTGCACCTTTAAGTGAACTCTGAACAGATGTTGTAGTAACTGAATCTAATTGGCAAATGGGCTTTTTAAAGCCTCATTTGACAAGCGATTGTACTTGGTGCTCTGGTAGAGCAGCGCCTGCCTCTGATCTCCACCTGGGCCTGTCAGAAAAGGCTGGCAGCTGGGAAGCAAAGGTTCCGTTCTCACAAGAGCCAAGAGTCGAGCACCTGGGGCCTCTTCAGGCCCATTCCCCAGAGTGACTCAAATGATGGCAGGAGAATAAGACTGCAGTGGCCTGGCCTGGCTACAGACCTCAGGATCTGGACCACATGAGGGTCCTGGGAAGACTAGGGCCTGTGCCTAAGAAAACTGCAAACAGCCTCATGGCTCTCCTCCCCAGCTGGCTTGCTCAAGGGAGGAGAGATGCATTTTGGGAAGTATCTGCAAAGGACTTTTGAAGGAACTGCTCCTTGCCACTTTCTGGTACATTCTCAGGAATTCAAAACAAATCAGCCCACTAGGGAAGAAAATCAGCATATTCCAGAAACAAATGAAATTAATCTGGGATGGTGATGCCATCTGTCTGTATATTAATTGGTAGTTAAATGAATGTGGTAAAATGGAGTTCCGGGTTTTAGGTCTTCAAAGCAGTAAGGCCAGTTTGGAATTCTTGTTTCTGAGAACATCTTTGGGCATCCATTCCTTCTGCTTCTGCCCCCTCTCAGTAACAGACAGAAGGAGTGGATACCCCACCACCCATGAAATCCCCCAGCAGATGGTCTCTTCCATGCCTCCAGGTGGAATTAGGAGCCTTGGGGGTTGGGGGGGACCAGGAATCCATATGTTAAAAAGCGATCTGGGTAATAATGGTGATTCAGCCACTCTGGGGAATACTGTGCTAATTGAACATCAAGCTGAAATGAGCCATTAGAGCATTTCTGAACATGGGCTTGGGGCTGGCAATGAAGGAGAGCTGACCCTGCCCTCCAGCCTGAGGGCTCTCAAGAACCTACTCTTGTCTCCTCCTTCGGTAGGTGGTGATGGCCCCTCATGAACCGTTGGTGGTGTTTGTTGACAACTACATCAAACTCCTTACGGATTGCAACACAGAAACCTTCCAGAAAATACTGGACATGAAGGTGAGCTCGCTTGTTAAGTATAACCCATCCACCCTAAGGCAGGGAATGTGGATATAGAATTTGAGGGGTGCCTCAACATGCAGGTTTCTGGCCTCACCCTGCATCCCAGATTGCAGAGAGCCTTTCCTGGAGGCTGATCCTGGCCACACAGACTGCAGCATCCTAGGACCACCTGGCCCAAGGGAGGGCCACTGCCCAGTGGAGGGTGGAGTGGGGCAGTGCCAGGGAGGGCAGTGCCAGGGAGGGCAGGGGTCTGCCCTCCCTCTGCTTCTCTTTATCTCTTCTCTCGTCAACCCTTCGTCCTCTCCTACCCTCTTACCCTTTTTCCTTCCTCAATTTTCACTTCCAGGCTGCTGTCTAGGATCAGTAGCTGCCCTGAAGAAGTCCAGGGCCTTGGCCGTTATGCAGTTAGCCCAGCGGAGCCCAGGCTGGGCAAACTCCCCCGAGTTGGTGTGCCTCCTCCCCCTGGCATCCGTTGTGGGACTACCCTCTGAACACCCTTCTCTCCTTTTCCTCTCAGGGGCTGAAGAGGAGCGAGCAGAGCAGCATGCTGGAGCTGTTTCGGCAGAGGCTCCCTGCCCCGCCCTCAGGGACAGAAAGTTCCAGCACACTGTCCCTAATGGCTCCAACACCAGAGCAGGAATCATCCCGCATCCGCAAACTTGAGAAACTGATTAAAAAGAGACTGTAAGGAATATACAGACATTGCCAGGGACCCTGAGCAACAGGTTTCTGGAAACCCTCACTCTCAGGGCTCTAGGTCCTTAGTCTTGAAACCCCCGGGGTCATTACGGTTATTAAAATATCTCCCCCATACCCTGTCTTATTCTCTACGCCAGTCAGGGAAGCTGAGTGAAACTGGGTTCTAGAAAGGCATTTTTTACATTATCTCCCATTCCTGAAGCTGGGGAAGCATTGGGTGAAAGGCCCCTGTGGTTCACTTCTATCTCCAGGCTGCCTGTGATGGTTAAATTGTCACTAACTCACGTCACCTCATTACATACTCCTCCCCACCAGCTCTGGGCCCTACTAGCTTGTGCCTGAAGCTTGACTGAGGAAGCCTGGATCTCACCCCTTCCTCCCTCTGCATTTGAAGTCAAAGCCTCTACAACCAGGGGTCCTTTTCCCTCCTTGTCTCTGGAATTGGCGTGGGGCCTGAGTGAACCGAGTGGCAGATGACAGAGTGGAATACTGGCTTCTCTTTATCGGGACCCTGCCAGAATTGGCACATCCCACATTAATTGCTGCTTTCTAGGACTTAAATCTACTGTCTTCCATGACATGGCCAAATTACCCCTGTGTTCTCTGACATCTGCTTACTCCCTAAAAGAGAGCTGCCCACTGATTCTCTTGCACATCGAGGAGATGGACTGTGGAGGCTGGTGTGCCCAGCCTTGGCAGCAGGTATCTTGCCTGTGATTGCCTGAGCTGGTGTGGAGGCAGACCTAGAGCTGATGTAGAGACATAGTCTGCATGGCACTCTCCCTGCTCACATGAACACATTGTCCAGCCCACTTCACTTTGCTCCTGGATCCTAGGGAGGAGACTGTCTTCTGAGACACTAGGAAGGTCCCTTGGAAGAGCTTTCTTGGCAGAGGCTGTGGGGAGGAAGACACAGTAAATATGATCACCTGACTTCCCACTCCCTGTACATTTCAAGTCTAGAGTACTTCCTAGAGTCCCTGAAACATGGTGGCCGCATATAGCACCACAGTGGCACATCATTACTACTAAGAAAAACCACCTAGGAACGTGATTACTGACCTTGCACCCCAGGCTCAGAACCTTAAACAGCCCAGAGCATAGCCCAACCCTGTTCTGCCCATGCTGCCTACCACCAGCTCATGAAATCAAGCTCTGCAGTGGGAAATCACCCCACCTCCAGAGAATGGATGCCTCATGAGGGCGGGCATTAACCTGCTCTCTTGGCTCACATGAAACCAAGGTTACATGACCACTACCTCAGTGTGACCACCTTTAGTGACAGCTTTTGGTAGGTATAAACTTGTCAACCAGTAGGACAGTAAGATCTGGGTCCTTAAGTCAATCCCAGAGCTCGGTGCTGCTCCACCACCACCACAGCAAAGAACTCATCTGGTTATTTCTAGCTACCCATAATGCTCAGCTTGGGTCCTGGGCCCTGTGTCTCTTTCTCTTTTCTTTTTGGTTCTTTTGACCACTAAGCTCCACCCCAGCCCTAGCGCCTCATCTCTTCATCAGCGTCTAAACTGTTCTTGCTAGTTGGTATAACTCTTAGGTGTTGAGCATTTCGAAATTCTAAATGCCAAGAAAACCAATGGCAAGATGCATCGTAACTTAGATGAGCGCAGCTCCCTGGTGCTCAGCAGAGGCTCCTCTGTGCTGCTCTGTGGGCCCAGGGGTTGCATGGCCTGCCCTATTTTGGAAAGAAGCCATTGGGCTATCTCCAAACAGCACAGCCAATTCAGCCACCTGCCACCCACCCAGGGGAGCTGAGAAGCCAGTAGGCTCCTCCCCGACCAGGCCACTGTCGCCATCCTCACACCGCTTACTACACTTCTCGTTTTGGTTCACTCACGAGAGGCTGGTTTTCCAGCCATCTCCGTAATGGCATTGAGATGTCAAGCTGCGATATCTCCCAGTTGGTGGTCACAGCCAGCCACGTTACTCCCTTGATGTATTACACTGTCGGTAATCACCAAGGAGCCAGCAGATAGATGTCAGTAGGAGTTATGTTAAATGTCTTCTTGATGAGGACTGAATACAGTGTGTGCTGTAGAGACAGCCTATTCCTCACCTGGGGAATGCATTAGAGTCCCCTGGGGCCCTTTGAAAAATGCAGATGTCTGGAGGCTTAACTCTGTAAGTCTGCAGTGAGGCCTGGTGTGTATATGTTTGGAAGCTGTCAGAATCCACGGGAGACTGATTCCAGGACCACACACACCCGATGCAGATGCTCTGTCCCTTCTATAAATGGCATAGTGTGTGTAAATAATCTAAACACATCCTCTCATATGCATAATGCCTCATATGATATAAATACTACATAAATTTGGGTTGTTTTGGATGGATTTATTGGTTCTTGTGGGGGGGGGGAGTGGTAGTGGTTTTATTTTGTTTTGTTTTTAAGACAGAGTCTCAGTCACTACGTGGTCCAGGCTGACCTTGAACTCATAACCCAGGCTGGCCTCCCAGCTACTGGCAGTACAGTTATGCCTGCCATACCTCGAAATAAATAGTTGTTACACTGGATGGCTTAGGGACTAATCACAATTGAGAAACTAGTCTGTATGTGTTCAAACAGGTTTTTTTCCTCCCCAAATATTGTTACTGCCTTTGGTAAAACCTCAGATGCATGACCCGTAGATACAGAGGACAGACTGTAGAATGCTTGTCCTTGCTGTCAGCCATTGCATTGAAAAGAGAAAGGACTTTTAAAGAAGGCCTGTAGCCCATGTTCACAAGTGTGTGTTTCTCAGGCTGTCTAGGCCAAGGCTGTCGCTGTACAGCACCAGCACAGCCTTTCGAGTGGCTGGCCGCTTTCATCTGAAGCTTGTAGAGATGATGAGGACGGGACCTAGAGCTGGACTCTTCCCATAATGATAGGGGTTCTTCTTGTTGTCATGGCCCCGGCTCAGCCAGGAGCTTATTATCATCACTTCAAAACAACAGACATAGCTAGGCATGTGGTGCACATCTCTAATTCCAACACTGGGGAGGCAGAGACAGGCGGACCTCTGAGGTAGAGGCCAGCTTGTTCTAAATAGAGAGGCCGGGCGGTGGTGGCACAGGCCTTTAATCCCAGCACTCAGGAGGCTGAGCCAAGCAGATCTCTGTGAGTTCGAGGCCAGCATGGTCTACAGAGCGAGATCCAGGACAGACACCAAAGCTACACAGAGAAACTCTGTCTCGAAAAAAACAAACAAACAAACAAAAATTAGAATTCCAGGCAAGCCAAGTCTACATAGTAAGACTGTTGAAGAAAAACAGGACAAAAACAACAAGAAATGTGAAGAGTTCTTTGCAACTCTTTTGTTAGGACAGATACCTAGCTTAGAGGGGCCAGAGTAGAGAAAGCTTTGTTTAGACTCTACCTGCAAAGCCATAGCCACAGAGAACCTCTGGCCTCTTGTAGAGCCTTGCAGGTGCAAGGCCTTGGGTGCACACCCTATCACAGAAAAGAAAATTCCTCTCTGACAGAACAAAGAATCAGCACCAAGATTCTACCCAAGGCCCAGAAAGGTGCCCACTTTGCATGCATCTCAAGTGGCTCGTAGGTGCCCACCAAATGACTGAAAGAAGAGGGCACAGGTCCCAGCTGCTGCTTGGCACGGGGGGCATCGCACAGGCCCATCCTGAGTCGCTGTTGGACAAGGAAGCCTGGCTCCCTGTTTACAGAAGGCTAAAGGAAGTTGCCAGAAGTACGCAGCTGGAAATGTCATTCCTCTCCCTGGGAAGAGAAGTCTGAAAATAACCTTAGCTTGCTGGAGGGGAAAGGCAAGCTCCACACTTACTGTCTACTCCAAGTTAAATTCCCAAAAATAAAATGTTAGCACTGGCTACATCGGGCCATTTAAGCATTAGCCTTGGAAACAGGCTTGTGAAAAGCCAACAGGCATAAAGAGAACCATTATGTTTTACGTATGAAATAAAAATTTCCAGCCCCATCCTAACTGTCCATCAACAAAGCCTGTTGGACCCACAGAGTTCCACACCTTCGGGAGATGTAAATTTCTTTCAAATAAAAGGATCATTCTTTTGTCTAAGTGTCTTTCGTTTTGCCCATCTGGAATTGATTTCTTGCTGCATCTTGAAATACAAAATACTGCAGTTAATTAAAGCATTACTGAATGTCATTTGCTCGAATGTCTTTCCCTACTGCTGACAGAAAACAGAAGGAACCCTAAGAGCGAGCCTTGAGCTTCCCTCCCAGCCACCACTCTTCCCACTGAGGCAGGTGGAGGGACATGCTCTCCTTCCCTAACAGTCTAAGGAGGTTGTGCCCATGGAGAACGTGGCAGTCCCGGGCCACCGCTGGCTGTCCAGCTGCAGTGGCACCCTCTGAATGTGTGTCAAGTGTACTGCTCCTGGTTTGGATTCCACTTTGCGCTGAGTTTCCATCCCTTGGCTTTCCCTTCTCCTCCCCGTTCCAGTCTCAGCCCAGTTTCCCATGTGGCTGCCCAGAGATCTCTCGCCTGTGCACAGCAAGTTATTCGGGCTTCCTTCACAGCTGGGTGGGCATTTTGCAACGAGATCTTTGAGGGAATTCTGATGTTTCTTTCAACAGTGGAAAATCTGCCGTAGCACTTCCATTAGTCTGGCCTGAGATCTTTACCTCGTTTCCATCCATCGTCACCAGCTCCTGCCTCCACAGGACAGCCAGGCAGGGATGACCCTCATGAGAAAAGAAACACTTCCGATTACCCACCCCAGAGGGCCGTGGGCAAGATGATTTTCCTACCAGCCCTCCGCCTTCTCACCTACATAGCCAGGCAGAGGAAGCATTGGTGAGCAGTGGCCTATGAAGAATGTGTCCACTGGAAACAGAAGCAGGCTGGGGTGGAAACTTCCACAGAAGCCCTGCTCTGCAGGTCTGGTCCTAGCACTTTGACAGTGGGCCAGTCATTGATTCTCAGAACCTTGGCTTGCAACATCTGTGAAAAAGGATTGTAAATCTTCCCAGTAATCCTTGTATTTTTTTTTTTCATTTTAATGAGACAGATCCAGGCTGGCCTCGAAGTCCTGTTCCTCCTGCTTCTGCCTTCCAAATGCTGGGATTGCAGGTATGTGCCACTAAGCCCAGTTCTTCCCGATGACCTGAGGTAGGATTTCTGTGAGTTTGAAGCTGGCCTGGGCTACCTAGTTCCAGACCAACCTGGCTTGCAGAGTAAGACTATGCCTCCGACAGAAAGTCAACAAGGCTGTGCAGCTCACACAGGATAAGGTGTGGGTCTGCCCCTCTGGGCGGTGGGAAATGTGAGCATTATCATTTGCCATGGCTGAGTCTGGCTGGAGGGCCTGACAGCGGGGGCGTAACCTCCTGTGGCCAAGCCTGCCTTCCCTGGGCAGTGGATGAATCCTGCTTCTCTGTTCCAGCTGCATCCGCAGTGAGCAGCAGAATGTCAGCCTTGCCCTTTTTAGGTTGTGATGGTGATGTCCATCTCACTCAAGAGCTCTCAAATTCTACACTCCCATTGTGTGCTCCTCCTGCCCTGGCAGCGGCTACTTCCCTAGCCGTTAGGGTAAGCCTGCAGACGTGGAAGAGAGCTTCCTCTCCCAGTGGTGTTGGCCAGGCTGCCCACTTTGCAGAGTGGGACACGTTTCCTTTGAATGCCTGGCAAAGGTCATCTTCCAAAAGAGTGCTTTGCATACGGTGTCTAGTCCGTGGCCCCACTCTCTGGTTATTCTTGCCTGAACGCCTTCTGTTGTCTTCTGGGGTTTTGTGAGGTTTGTTTTGTGACCTACAGTAACCCCCAAATTATGGAGAGGCAAGCAGTCCTAATTGGGAAAGCTGTGGTTGGCTCACCGAATGGAATCCATTAAATGCCTGTCACAGAATCCTAGATTCTTCTCAAGGCTGCCTAATTACCTGCATTCAGGGGCAAAGTTCCTACCTAGCCCTGATGACTCAGAGAATATGGAAAGATAAGAGTGATTATAAATTAAAAATTGTGGGTGGGGCTTTGTGGCAGACTCCTAGAATCCTAGCACGACGGAGGCCGAGACAGGATGAGGAGGAGATGGAAGCCGCCCTTGTGGCTGGGGATAGAGCTCGGGTAGAGTGCTTGTCCGGCAGTTGCAGGAACCTGGATCCATCTGCTGCACTACCAGAGACAAAGGACTGCCAAAGGTTTTGTTTTTACCAAAACAGACAAACCGCGGGAGAAAACCTGTGAAATGGGCAATCTGCTAAGACTGCTCCCCACTTAATCTGAGATGTCTTTCAGCTTCTGCTCCATAATCAAGGGGAATTTGCACAATTTACACGCCGCCTTCTGTTCAGGGTAATTTTTCAACAAGTCAGAAATTAAGACCAGCTTCTCAGCAAACTCCCCTCTATTTCCAAGGCCAAGGAAAGTCTTTACAGAGGGTGCCGAAGCTTTCCAGAGTGGTGTCGAGCAGTAACTAGCTGCTTCTGCTCCTTCGTTTGAGTTACGGTGCAAGATAGACTGCGTTCCACCGGTGCCCTGAAGGAAGTACTGTGACTGGCCATCGGAGACAGCCCCTGGGGAGCTTTCCCGGGCAAATGGAAGGATAGCTCGTACACAGAGAAACAACCATTCACAAACACACCTTCCACCCACAGACCCATGTCCAGGGGAGTCCTGACCCCATGTTTAACTTTACCTTTATTTTGGGGTGTGTGTGTGTGTGTGTGTGTGTGTGTGTGTGTGTGTGTGTGTCCAGAGAGCACTTTGGATCTCCTGGAACTGGAGTTACAGATGGTTGTGAGCCACTGTGTGGGTGCTGGGAATCCACCCAGGTTCTGTGGAATAACAGCCAGTGCTCTTAACCACGGAGCCGTCTCTTCAGCCCGCCCTCCTCTTTTTGAAGCAGAGTTTTTTACTCTGTAGTCCAAGCTGATCTCAAACTTGTGTCCATCCTCCTGTCTCAGCCTCCCAAGTGCAAAGATTACGTACAACAGCCATACCTATGTTGTGCTCTTTTAACTTTGAATTATATTTTTTTCAAACTTATTTTAATGTACACCCACACACACACATGGGTGCAGTAATGCATGTGTGGAGGTCAGAGGACAACTTTTAGGAACTAATTTGCTTCCACTATATGGGTCCTACTGATCAACTCAGGCAGTCAATACCTACCACTGAGCCATCTTACCAGCCCTCGTCCCAGGTATTGGCTCTGAGGCTGACAAACTTTGCTGTCAGGGGAATACAAGAAGTAGGTCCCAGCTGTAGGTCCTGGACCCTGGCTGTAGTGGCCAACTGTGTCTTCCAGTGTGGAAGAGGGAAATGGCAAGTTACAGGTCAGACAGGCCACAGAGCAAGACCTACTCCTAAAACTATTTAAGTAGGTTGGATCCTTTTTGTGTGTGGGACCAGGAAGCTCAGTGAGGGAGAGTGATGTGCCCAAGGATATGTGCCCAGGTGTGGAGTGGACTGCATGGCGACCACTGCTGCTTGACAGAGTTCCAGCATTTTGACATTGTGGACCACACCCCGGAAGGGGTGGAGCCAGGACCTGACCAAAGCCTCCTTCCATTTTCCAGATCCCGTGTACTTCACTGGTAGTTTTCAGATGTATAAGCTATGGGATTCTTGCTATACAAAAGAGGTGTGGAAACTATTATAAAAAACATGTTTTGAGCTTAAATCTTTTCAAAGAAAATCAAGAGAGGATGTTGAAACTGTTTGAGTAAGTGGAAAATATTTCTGGGATCAATGGCACATACTTGGAAGCAGGAGGGTCAAGGGATACCCTCCACTGCCTGGCAAGGTTGCTCAGTGGTTACAGCACCTGCTTCTTTTGTAAAGAGAGGATGACCTGTGTTTGGTTCCCAGCACCCACTAAATCGAGTTCCATGGGGTTGATGCCCTCTTCTGCCCTCCTTGGGCACCAGGCATGTGAGGCCAACCTGGTCTACATAGTAAGTTACTAAGACTATTGTCTTTTTTTTTTTTTTAAGGCACACCTGGTGGCGCACGCCTTTAATCCCGGCACTCAAGAGGCAGAGGCAGGAGGATCTCTGTGAGTTTGAGACCAGCCTGGTCTATATATCGAGTTCCAGGACAGACAGAGCTACATAGTGAGAACCTGTCTCAAAAAAAAAGAAAAGAAAAAAGAAGAGGATGAAGAAGAAAGGGAAAAGTACTTTACATTTAAGGTCATAAATGACAATTTTTGTTTGTTTGTTTGTTTATTTGAGACAGTGTGATTTTGGTGCCTGTCCTGGATCTCGCACTCTAGACCAAGCTGACCTTCAACTCACAGAGATCTGCCTGGCTCTGCCTCCTGAGTGCTGGGATTAAAGGCATGCACCACCACCGCCCAGCAATATAAATGACAATTTATAATTTGTGTTTCAACCCAGCGTCTACTTCATTGCTGCTTGCTTTAGTTTCACAGAATCTAGAAATCTTGATTTGAAATTTTGTAAACAAGCAAGGCAGTGGTGGTGCACACCTTTAATCCCAGCACTCAGGAGGCAGAGGCAGGCGGATCTCAGTTGGAGGCCAGCCTGGTCTACAGAGTGAATTCCAGGACAGCTGGGACTATACAGAGACCCTGTCTCAAAAAAAAAAAAGAAAGAAAAATTGAAAAGAGTGTCCTTCCAACCACAGATATTCTCTCTTCCCCAACTCCGTGTGTGTGTGTGTGTGTGTGTGTGTGTGTTTGTGTGTGTGTGTGTGTGTGTGTACTAGTATTTGTGCACCACAGTGTGCACGTGAAGGTCAGAACAGCATTGAGTGTTGGTCTCACATCCCACCTTTGAGACACAGTATCTCTTGCTGTTCGCTGCTGCCTACCCCAGGCCAGCTGGTTCCCCAAGCTTCCTGTGAGTCTCCCCTCCCAATAGGGCCACACTGGGATTCCAGATACAAGTGAACACTACTGTGTTGGATTTTCATCTGGGTTCTAAGGATCTAAACTCGAGTTGTTAAGCTGGTGCAGCAGGCACTTTACCCATCAAGCCAACTCCTCATCCCAAATATTTTTTATTTATTATATATTTTAGTACACACACACACACACACACACACACACACACACATATGCACACATTTTTGTGTGCTTGGTTTTTTGTTT